AATCTTAATTAATATATATCTTTAATTTTTTTTTTTATTCCTAAGGTTTTATCTTGATAATTCATATTGATTTGTGTCACATACATGGTTTTGCCTTGATTTTATGTATACACGAGATTTAATTAAATGATATCGAGTTGTTATCACTTAAATTAATCTCGTTGATTGATTAATATTTATTTTGATAAATTATCTGAATATATTTTGATTAGTTGATTTTAAATTAATATTTAAAAATTAAACATCATTTATTAATTATAGCTAAAATTTATATTCATATACAATTAATAAATAATACTTAAATTTTATAAAGTTGCATTATAATATTTAAGCTTATCATATGATGATTTACAGTCGTTGGATGCATCAAATCAAAATAATAACTTTGACAAATGTTTTTAAAGAGGTAGTCCGCAAAATAAAATAAAAAAACGGATATGAGATATTGAGGAGAAAAAAGAGGGCGAGAAAATAAGGCCCCCCGAATGTGGGGGCCATAACAGCTGGGTTAAGGCTGGAAAGATTGGAAGGGTTCACCTAGCAGGACTTTGATTTGGTGGTCGGTCTGGGTGACGGAATTTTTTAAGAAATATTAATAGCAGCAGCACCTCACGGATTGTTGACGTGGCATTCACTGGCGTCTCCTGTTTCCAAACTCGCCGTTTTTCCCATGACGGCGCTAACAGAATTTTATTCTATTTGCTGTATCTTCCTTTCGATGGTTGGTTAGCTTATAGCTTTGGTTTAACAAAAGGCAACGATTTTTTGTACACCGTCCAAATCACAATTCCAGCTTGTTTTGTCCTTTTTCTTTTTAATTTCGGGGATTTCTTGGTGCATAAGCCATTAAAAAAGTCAAAATTGCTGTAAGAAAATCATTTTAATTGCAATGGATACACCTTGGTTTCATGTATTGTCATGTTTTTGTGGGTGAATTTCTTAAATAATGTAGTTGAAAAAAAATTTGTTTGAATAGGGCACTCTGTTACAGTAAATCTAAAGACGCATTAGAGTTCAAGCGATTTATGTATAAATTTGGGGGAGACGCATGGAATGCAATGCGTCTCCCATATTTTTTCACCAATTTCATTCCTATGTAAATGTACAAAGGGTAATTACACAATTAATCATTAACTTTATTCTCTCTCTAAATTAATTAAATACAACTGCACTGTTTTGGATAACAATTTCAATTAGAAATCATGTAAGCACGATGTTGGTTTCTTTAGTACACAAATTCAATGCTAGAGCTAATGGATCAAATTGGCTTCCATATAACAACTTGAACAATGGTCGATGAGTGATCAAAATAGGAGTAAAACAAAAGTTGAGTGATTAAATTGAAAAATTAAAAGTATAGTGAGTGAATTTAGAGAGAGAGTAAAGTTGAATGATTAATTATGTAATTTAGCCTAAAAATATTGGAGACGCATGTCTCTCGTATTTTCAAAGGGTAAATTACACAATTAATTATTCAACTTTACTCTCTCTCCAAATTTACTATTGTAGTTTTAATTTTTTTAATTTAATCACTCAACTTGTGTACTAAAGGGTAATTTTTTCACTTTTTCATAAATATACAAAGGGTATTTTTTTGGAGTCCAAGCATTGAATTTGTGTACTAAAGAAACCAACATCGTGCTTACATAATTTCTAATTGAAATTGTTGTCCAAAATAGTATCATTATGATAATATCTCGTGTATTTTAAATAAAAATAGTTTTATAATTAAATTAATGTTAAATATATTCGTAATACCAATTTAAATTGAATATTTAGTAGATATAAAGTTTATATATATATTTACATGACTAACATAAATATATGAATGATTAATTGTGTAATTTACCCTTTGTACATTTACATAGTGAAAAAATATGAGAGACGCATTACACCCCATGTGTCTCCCCAACATTCACTCTATTTCGCGAAATAATTTCGAAAGTGTCCTATTTAAACAAATTTTTTTCAACTGCATTATTTGAGAAATTCAGCCTGTTTTTGTTGATCCACCAAACTCGGACCAACAAAATCACATTAATTAATAAAAGATCAAAGCAAAACTTACCCACGTTTTATTTTAATCATAACCGTTAAAACTTATTTTTAATAAATTAACGTTCTTAAAAAATTAAAACAATCTGATTTAAGGTGATAATATATGGTTTAATTTTGTTAAAAGAAATAATATTTATTTACTAAAAGATAAAAATTGGTGGTCTTGATGAAGTGAATACAGTTAGCATTTGCCTAGTATTGTTTTTTGGTATAAACTTTATGATGAGAATTTAAACCTTAATAACACAAAAATATAATGATCCCAAGTATTGGATCAAAGGCCATGCAATCTTCACTTTTACCCTTTATTTATCCCCACATTTCATGGGCCCCAGTATTTAGTTAATCCCAACATGATTATCTTACCCATAATTTTCACTTGTCTTTTTTGCATCTTTTTCAAACCTTATCCCTTTTATTTTTACTCCCCCAAATTTCGAGACCGACGCCACTATTTCTTCCTTTACGGGGTATGTGGGTGGGTGGGGGCATTTATCAGGTGACCGGCGAGTGGGAGGCAAGCGTGAAGGCGTCCCCCCAATCCACATTGTTTCTTTTTATTAACTATTTTTACTACATCATATTTGTTTCGTTACTACGCTACTAGATGCTTTCATAAGACGCACATGCATGCCATGGTCCATCCATACTCCTCACATATCATTCCATACGATTGACTATTGTAGAGAAATTAATTTAGAAACTATAGCTATACTTATAATGTGTTTCCAGTAATAACTCCTTACAAGTTTTGAGTTTGAACAATTATGCTTACAGACTATGCATACAACGTTTATAATTAAAAATTTAAATAAATATTATCCTATAATTATACTAGATTATTGAATAAATTAAAAGTAATAATTTTATGGGTATAAAAAGATTTTAGTGACAAGCCAAAATCGTTTAATCATCAAATATGATTATTATTAACGACGACATGCTTCAAAAGTCAAATTTTTAAGCTTGTTGCTTCTAGTAGGACCATCTTCAAAAGACCTCAATCGTATAAATTGGGTTGAGACCTGAGGTGGGTTACGTTGAAACATGGCTAGGTAATGTGGGCGTCATGAATACGTGGTAGCACGATAGGATTGGTTGTTTCATGGAACATTGATGGTATGATGAGAGGTCTAAGGAGAGGGATATATATTCATAAGTTAAACCAAAATGGTAGAGAATTAATGAAGGGTGATTATGTTGCCCAGCTATGTGTTTTGCTCCCACTGTTTTTCCTCGATAAAAAAGAATAACTAATTCTCCAAGTGCTACATACTTAATCAAAAAAAAAAAGATTCGAGATATGAAATATCGAAATTAAAATGATTTATGGATGTTTTAAGAATATGAAAAAATTTCGATTGTTAGAATTTAACTCATCGGAAGATCAAATTAAGTTGCTCTTAAACATCATCTTATTCTGATTAACTCATCAAAATATGCAAAGTATATTCGGGAATATATTTGAGTGTACATGTATGTAACATCAACGGGTTTTTTAACGTTGTCAAGTTTCACGTCAAGACAATAGACAACCACTTTGTATGTTTCCCCCTTCTTTTTATTTACTTATATTATTTGTCATCAAATTAGCTGTCTCTGGACCCACGAAAAAGGAGGATTGGAGAGAGAAAGCAGAAAACCTGCTAGTTTTTTTCTCTGGTGGCCCACGAACCGAAAAAAATGTTTAATTTGATCTGGAGTTCGGGCCTATCACTAGTCGTGTTCGGTCCATAAAAAATGCAAGCCATCGTGAAAAAGCAATGGTTACCGTAACAATTGTTGTGGTGATGATGATGATGCCAGCTATGGAGTTGACAGACAGGCCTGTGGTGATTTCGGTGTATCTCAATGTCAGATTTTGTGCAGCTTAAAAGGAGGAGTCCCCTCTCTAGCTACCACCATCTTTACATGAGCCTACCAAAGTCAATTATACTGATAATCACTCATCTTGGGTTGGTTGGCTCTCTGGTTTATTTTATTGAAAGGCAAACATAAAATTATGCTGCTTTATTAAACAACGAGGTCAGCGAGAATCCCTCTTAAGAAACGCCATGCTGGACTGTTATACTCATCGTTTGTTCAATGAATGTTGCAGTTTTGGTTCCTTGAATGAATAATGTAAGCATGTAGGGCATACAAGCCCAGAAAATAGTGAAAAAAGAAAGAAGCTGTTTCTGGAATGACTTGTGATACTTTAGGAAAAAATTATGGCAAAGTTAATGATCAACGGTCACAATGCCAAATCATAATTGTTTCAATAACTTGCTTAACGAGCCCAAACTTCAATTATTTCACCTCATAGTATTTGTGTTGTTGATTGTGTGCTTGGAGCTTGGACTGATCCTCGTTTGAACTTTGGGACACATTTTGATGCTAACAAAGCTCGAGTCTAACGTCGATAAGGTTTATGAAGTATGACTCGCCTACACCAGGCATATAGGCTTTCTTTACTATTTAGGCCCATAGGGCTTTCTTTGCTTCGGGTATAATATGTTGTAATGTGGAAGACAAAAAGCTCGCTAACTGTACATCTTTTTATGTTTAAAGTTTTGATTCTCTAAATAAATTGTGAAATCCTAGTTATTATATTTAGTTCTCCCTATCTTTATCAGTAGAATTCTCTTATAACATAAAATAAAATTTCTTATTTCTATATTTTAAATATTTATCTTTTATTTTTTATTTTTAAATATAAAACCAAACTTTAAAACAGAAGAAAATAATGTGGACAATAGGACACATGAAGATTGAAAAGAAAGTTTAAAAAAAAGGGAGGGGACTTGGGAGGGTCATGGGGCTTATGAGTTGCTAAAATAAAGGCGGATCTAACTAGTAGTAAGCAAAATGGACGGTTGACAGATCATCAAATCAACTTTTTCAATGCCCCCTTCATCAATGTTACCAAATCTCCTCGTTTCTTTTTTCCCCAAGGCCACAATTTGACCCTAATAAAACCAGCTTTATATCCCCCCACCCAACCAAAAAAAAAACATAAACTAATCATGTCGTGGCAAACTTACGTAGATGAGCATTTGATGTGCAACATCGATGGCAGTGGCCAACACCTCTCCGCCGCTGCTATCGTTGGCCACGATGGCAGTGTCTGGGCTCAGAGCCCTAACTTCCCCAAGGTCATCATCATATATAATCCTTATTCATCAAAACTATTTGATCTTTACATCGTCAATATTATCGATTCTTTATTATGTGATTGCAGTTGCAGCCCAAGGAGATAACTGACATCATGAAGGATTTCGACGAACCAGGCCACCTTGCACCTACAGGCTTGCACCTTGGTGGCGCTAAGTTTATGGTCATCCAGGGTGAGCCTGGTGCTGTCATTCGTGGGAAAAAGGTGAATAATATTGATATATATATATATATAACATCAACGATTCCGACTTGAAAAATCTCAAATTGTGGATGTTTTTTTTTTGGTCTGGGCAGGGATCAGGAGGGGTGACCATTAAGAAAACTGCACAGGCTCTGGTGTTTGGGATCTATGAAGAACCGGTGACTCCAGGGCAATGCAACCTGGTTGTAGAGAGATTGGGCGATTATCTTGCCGAACAGGGACTCTAGTCGACCACCTAGCTACCTTAATTTCCCTTTTTTTTAAAGTCTTTGGGTTCCAAGTAATATGAATCTTCTTACATTTGAGTTGTTTTTTCACCATGTTTTATTTCTTTTTTACTGGATTTTATTTGTATTTGTAATCCCTCACCGGCCATCGGTGATTGAGGGGTTTTTGTTTATTTGGGTTTGATGCCATTATATATATATATATAAAGAACGTTCCAACTTTGAATATATCCTATTTCTTGTATGAATCAATATTACTATTAGAGGATTAGATTTCAGGTTCCTCGACTGCCATATTTTTCTTTTCATGATCCACCTTTTGACTTGTAGTTTTCGAAGATATCTGGATTTTCAATTCCTTCAGGAAAGATTATAATAAACCTTCCTCCTACTCCTTCCTTCACGCCCTCTATATTGGGACACTGTTAACTGCTGATCATATTGTGGATGTTGGTTAAGAATTATTTAATTTCTTATCTTTAATGAATGTATAATCAGATTTTCATTATTATTTTATTCGATACCAACCTTTTTTTCTCTTAATATATCTAGTGACTAGTGGGAATGAATAAGATTCTGTGTTTATTCAAATTTTTTTCTACTTTTAAAAATATTTTAATGCATAAAATATTCTAAAATTTGTTAATTAAGTCTATAGTGTAATAACAAATTACTTTTACCAAAAATAAAATTCTAAAACATTTGTTAATTAAGTCTGTAGTGTAATAAAAGATTCTAAAAGATTATGTGTTGGGCAAGTACAATTAGGTACCGGAATGAGACCTGAACTCGAAGAGTTTATCGATTTTTTTAAAATTTTGACTTTAAGTTCGGATGGGGTCGGGTTTTTTAAAGTTATGTTTGGGTCGGGTCGGGTTCAAGTTTAGAGTGAAAAATATCCGACCAGACCCGAAAAAATTATAATTTTACCTTATATATTTAGGGATAATTATAATAATACCCCTTTATATATTATTTTCTTTTCAATTAAATCCTTATTTTTATTGTATAAAAATAAGGATTTTAATAAATATATTATTTCGGGTCGGACTGGGTCAGATTCAGATTTTATCTCAAATAATCGGGTCGGGTGGACAAAAAATTCGACTTGACCCATGCACATCCCTAAGTACAATGTAGTATCTGTTCAAAAATAACTCAAATCATTTGACATTGAACGCTCACATCCCTAGCATTACTAATGCTTGAACCGAGGAATTCAAAGAATAACATTAATTCCTTTGCCATTGAGATCATTCGGCTGTTGCTTAGTCATTTCTTTTCAGTTGTAAATTTTATACTATAACTCAATAACAAAATTATATATATATATATAATCATTTTTTTGTTGCATAATTTTCTTTTCATTTCTCATACTTATTTATAGAGGAAGCAATCCATTTCCATTAGTGAATAATTAAAACAATCTTATATGTAGTAACATTTTTATGATTTATATTTTGACAATCAAATCGTAATATTTAATTTTTTTCACAAAAATAATGCACATAGAGTTTTGAAATATACAAAAATTGTTCTCCTCATTTGTGCGTACTGTATATAATAATTTTTTTTTTGGGTAATGTAAAGCTAATAATTGAGTAAGCTAAAGTCTTCTTCCTGTCTGATCATGTTTTCCACCATAGGTGGAGGACTTAGAAGCATCTGGACTTCAAGGGTTCCATTTGTCTCAAGTTTGGCTAATGCGTCAGCAATCTGGTTACCCTTCCTAGACACGTGCTGGAATTGTATTCTCCATTCTCTTTTTTCCAATTCCTTAATATGCTGCAATATGTTTAGAGCTCCTCTTCGAATGGTATTATTCTCCAGGAGTCGAATTGCCTCCATGCTGTCTGATTCAATTATCAGCTGAGTGATTCCTTTGTTCCAAGCGATACTCATACCGATGTATATTCTCCATAGCTCGGCTTCTATCACCGAGCAAATTCCTATGAACTTATGAAAGTGGATTGTCCATTTTCCTGTGTGGTCTCTGATGATGCCTCCACAAATTGTATTTCCATTTCTGGCGTTGCAGCTGGCATCTGTGTTCGATTTGAACCATCCATTCGGTGGCTTTGTCCAATGTTCACTCGTTCCTTGGTGGCTGGTTTGGTGTTGCAGCTGTGTTTGAATATGATTACGTTGAGAGGCAGCGATTGTCCTGGAGTCTTCTACTCTTGTCAAGCATGCTGCCATTCTCTTCAAAAGGGGAAAAGAAGACTATCGCAATTCCTTTCAAGCCAAATGTTCCATAGTATTGCACCAAATTGAAGATCCCAGTCTTGGTACTCTATTCCCAATTTGCTTGGTTCGGCCAAATTTAGGCGAATCCAGCTTCTCATGTCCGTTGCTAGGAACTCTGCTCGCTTTTCTGCCTTGATTAGGGATGACCAGATTCATAGCACAGGAGGGCACCATCTAAAGACGTGGTCTATTTCTTCAGGGGTTGATTTGCACATTGGGCATCTATCATCCATGGTGAGGTGTCTTCGAGGTCGTTCCACATTCATCATGATTTTGTTGGAACAGATTAACCACAAGAAGATTTTTACCCTTTGTAGACCTCTGTACTTGTGAATTGTCTTCCACAACGGTAGTTCCGCATCGTAATCCATAGGCTGTTTTGACAGAAAATTTCGTATCTTCACGACCTTTCCACCCAATCGTGTCCTAATAAGTATTTATTAATGAACTGCAAAACTATAATTTAAGTAAATAAATTCAATAATAAATGTTGAAAATTAAAGAAATTATTGTTTATTGAAGGAAAGAAGTGGTTTAAATAATAAGGGAAATAACAAATGAGATATCATTTTCTAGGAATGGAAATGAATGGACCCCAAAACCATAAGAACTATATGGGCCATACATTGGGTGTGGTGTTATGCTAGGAAAATAAATAAATCTGTCATTCAATTCAACCAATCATATAATCATTGTTTTGAAAATCGGATCGGACCGGTCGGTTCAATCGAGAATCGTTGTCTAGTCCGGTTCAATCTACACCGGTTGAACCGTACTAATGAACCGGTCAGAACCGTTGAACCATTCGAACCGGACCAGTTGAAAATCGGAAAAAACCGGAAATTTTATTTTTTTAAAAAATTAAACCAAACGACATCGTTTGTTAAACTAGCCAAGTCGAACTCGAGTATTGCTGAGCTCGACTCGAACTTGAAAACTTTAAAAGTAAGCTCAACTTGACTCAAACTCACTAGCTAAAAATTATCAAGTTCAACTCAAACTCGAAATATAATATTGAAACTTGAACTCAAAAAGAAATTTAGAAGCTCGATTAAAGCCTAAAATTCGAGCTTGATTGAAGTGAAAGAATAGTTCACTCAATGCTCACCAAAAGGCTCCATGATTTTGAATGTCAAATTACCTCTATTATTTATAGAAGTTAGTTGTGATGCTCTTCTATGTTTCTTAGCCATGTGAGATTGTTTTGTTCTCATATTTTTACTCTTTAGACTTTTGGGATGCTCTTCTATGTTTCTTAGCCATGTGGGATTGTTTTTAAAATAAAATTAAACCAAACAAATATCATTTTGATATGATTTTTTAGCCCCAAATTTATTTTTTAATTATAGTTATATAATTATATTTATTATTTAATATGTTTTACCTTAAATATTATGTTGTAGTTAATTTGAATCATTTTGTTTCATTTGATTTTATGGTTTTTAACTTATATATGTTATGAATTGCTTTGAATATGACTTGTGATATAAAAAATTATTTTTTATTAAATATTTTTGATATTTTTATTTAATTTTTTAAATAATTATGACGTCGTCCGATTCTTCCGACCGGTCGAACCGATTCGACCAGTCCAAGTGAACCGATAACATAATCGATTCGCTAACCGGTCCAGTTCTAAAAACCATGCATATAATCCATCCTTTGGCGCTGTATCTTTCCATGGGTCTCATTAGGCCTACATTTAAAAAAAATTAAAATATATATTATTTTTAAAATATTTCATTTATTAAATAATATTTTAGAAAACAACTCTAAACTTATTTCAATATTTTTATTATATTCAAACTCATATGTATGAGTTCTTTTTCATCGAATTATAATTGGGATGGGAACAACTAAGAGCTCAAATAATATGAATTTCTTCTCTCTTTTTCCTTTAATCATTTGCCTTAGTATAAAGGAGCTTAGCTGTTTTTGTTTGCCACGAACTTTCCAGTTGCTTTTCGATAGAGTAAATTAAAAATGGCAAATAATTAGCAACTGAGTAAATTATAGGGTAAATTACACAAATAATCACTAATGTTTGAGTAAGCTTTCGTTTTCCCCACTAAAGTTTCAAAAGTAACAAGTTGGTCACTAACACTATCGATTTGTTACAAATCGATCACTGGTCACTTCCGTTAACAGTCGTTATTGTAGTAACAGAATGCTAGTGTGACACGTTAAACCAACTAACTATCATGTTTGATCGATCGTTTGACTCTTCTTCTTCTTCTTCGGTTTTAGACGAGATGATTCTAGTTTCTGTAAGGCTCGAGAAGCTAATAATGTGTGGTATGATTCATGAATTGTGCTTGAAACAATCATATCTTTGCTGTTGGTATGATGTTAGACTGGGATTTCCTTGAAAAAATCTTGATGCTACAATTATATTTTCGAATTTCTGGCCTCTACTACAAGCATGCACTTCTTTGATATCGGTTCTTTTTTAAAATTACTTTGCACTTAGTTATTGGTGATAGGAAAAGGTTTAAAACATCTCAAAATAACATTTAAAATATTTGTTTTTCCCTTTTACCATTCAGATTTATGTTTTGGTGAAGATATTATTGATCAGAGGAAGAGCTCATAGCCTAATACATGATAGTTAGAGTACTGTTTGATTGGTACTTTTAGTTTTTGCTATTGGTCCTTTATATTTAATTCGATTTAATTGGATTCATTCAATTTAATCCAAATCATGCTATTGAGAAAAGTAAAAGACGTTAAGAAGAGCACCAGCAAAAAACAACTTAATCAAAAGAAATTCAGAGAAATGAATTTTAATCAAACTTTTTAACGTGTAATCTGTCATGCCACCTTTAGTTTAATTTTTTCCTACTTTCCTTTTTCATTTCACTTTTGTTTTTCATATGGCCATGTCTGTGAAGAATGCATAACTTGACAGCTTCCTAAAATGGGATAT